GTTCCTCCTCGTCGTACTCGCTGCTGTCAGTGAAGCCTGTTGGTTGAAACCAACGCCTGAACAGCGCTCGGAAGACCTTGGCAGTCGCGCTGAGGCGACGTTGTCTTCTGGTCCTCAGGTACAAGCTGACGGTGCACCAGATCTCTGGAATTTGTAAGCCTCGCATGACTGAAGAAAAAGGTGCGGGTGGGCGGGCTTTCGAAATTTTCTGCCCGGCTCCGACTTGAGCAACGTTCACATGCAGGCACATCACACATGCTCAATGCAGCAAAACGTTTCTGCATAAACAAACACGTTCCTTGTTTGTTTTCCATGATCGTGATAAAACACTAACTCGTCCCTCGCACGTAAGCTTATCACTCACAGGACCGGCAGAAAATTTCAATCAAATGGAATATCTTCAATAAAAGAATCTTCAATCAAATATCTTCCACGCAGATCGCTCTCTCTTTTTCCATGTGGGGATGACGAAGTCTCCGTCCTTGTGAGTCATTCCAAGATCTTTGTCCCGACAGATCGGGTCACTGAAAGCGGAGAGAACTCTCCCCATCTTTTATAAGATCGACGCTTACCGTGGACCGTACTGCGTCGGGAAAGTCTGGGAGAGCCTCGATCCTAACTCTCGAGGGTTCATCCGCGATGTTCGATTTTGACGGGACTCTCGCGATCCAGGGTACAGTCCCCGTCTTGAGCTCATATGCGGCTTGATGCTTCAGCAAGTCGTTTGCGACTCTGTTAGCGCTTGCTCCAGTCATAAGGCAGGCTTTGGCGCCTTCATTATCACAGTAGCATACGACTCTCATTCCTCTGAGGGCCTCGCCCCAAGCCTTGAACGCCAAGCAGACTGCAGCCAACTCGAGCAAGAAGATGCACTTAGACTCTAGGTCTATTCCCACCTCAGCAAGCTCAGCTGAGCTAGGGAAGTACGAGAAGAACCTCAGGGGCTCTCCAGTGGGTCCGCACAGGACTCCGCCTATTCCCGCGACGTTTCCTTCCTTAGTCGGTTCCAGGGACGCGTCAGTGTATATAAAGACGCAGGGCCTCTGACCCAGGAGAATCGTCCTCGCTGGGGCGAACTGAGCGATGTCAATGTACATCCGAAGTGCTGCGGAGATGCTTCCGTCAATTGCGGTAGAGTTCCGTTCCAAAACGGAGTAGAATACTTTAAGACAGGACTTCGGGAGTCGACCGAAGATTTGCCCTCCGGCGAAACTCATTCGCCCCGCCATGTGCCTGGCCTCGGATCTCGATATTCTTCCCCTGTCGAGAATGTTTGAGAGCTCGCTCACGAGCTCACTGATTCTTGCCTCAGTGTTGCTGATGAGTAGCGATCCCTTGGTGAGATGTCTCAGGTTGACGCTGACTCCTAGAGCGTGTAGTGTCCTACCGAAGACCGTGTTTTTCTCGCCAGAGGCGTCATACACCCATCCAAGGATATCGAAGAGGGACCTTGCAGCCAGGTCCGAGCTCTTCTCCAGGGCGGGCTCCGAAAACAGGCAAAAGTCGTCAAAGAAAACCGTCCACATGAGACTGAGGGCCACGACTCCTAGGGTCCACAGTGCCCTGCTCATCCTGTTGAAGGCGTATACACTCTGAGTGGCCCCGAAGGGCAGGGCCAGCGATGTAAAGACCTTGGGGCAGCCAGACGGGTCCTTGATGACTAGTCCCGCCCTGTCTCTGGAGCTCGCCGACACTGCCATCTGCTTGAAGGCCCACTTAAGATCGAAGCTCTTAGCGGTCAAGTCGCGAGGCCTCTGCGCGGCGTCTCTGGCGTCGCACCACTCAACCACAGCGGAAGCCATGACATCTACGGAATGAAGAGATATCCTTTCCTCCGCGAAGGTGGTAGCGTTTATCAAACTAGCCGACATATCGTCGACGCACCGTACCTTGTCCCTCTGCTTAACCCCAAAGCGATTAGACACGACCGAGGGCGCATCGGCATCATCAGGCTCCATGGGTCCCTTGAGCCATCCCCTCGAAACTTCCGTTATGGTCTTCTCCCACACTTCCTTGGATAGGCCCTCCGCGGCTCCAAGAGCCCTTGAGAGCGCTGCATCCTTGATGACCGGAGCAAGAGCTTCGAGCTCGCTCTCATGGATCGTGGCCGGGGTGTACCTCTTGGGCAGGTCGTTCGACATCGGAATTTCGCCCGTAAGGTCAACACCTTCTTCCAAGAGTTTGTGTGCTTCAGCATCGTTCAGCTCGTATGCGTTCACCATCTCCTTGAAGAGCAGGATCTTCTTGTCCTTTACTACCGACCTTACTCCCTCGTCCATCGAGTCCTTCAAGGCCTTTTCCTCTTCGTAGAGCTCCGAAGCAACCGACATCCATTTGCGGAAGAAGGACGCTCGCCTTTCAGCGACCGCCGATGGATCGTCAGCCGCAATTTCCCAAATGGATCTTTTCAGTGATTCAGGCACTGTCGAGATCGCGTCGGCTGGGTGTCCTCTTCCCGCCGCTTCCTTCAGGAACTCGCCGGGGCTCCAAGGCACTCCAAATGTGCAGATTGTGTCCGCTTCTGCTGGAATCGTGGAGTTCTCCCCTTCTGTTCTGGGAGAGATTTCCAGCAGACGGGAGCCTTCGGGAATGGTGACCTGCGGGGTGATCAAAGGGTGCTCGATGAAATCCTTGATGCGCCACGTACAGGAAGATCTCGGAATGAATGCCTTGAGAATCACCCGGTATTCTGGAACGAAGTTGGGTAGATTGGACTTCGTGGTACCCTCGGATGCCATTGCTCTTGAGACTTTCTCTGCCGCAAGCGGCAGTTGCGATGCCCGCAACATGTCTAGAGGTTCCATGACAAAATTGTCTGCCTCGCAGGCATCCTTGACAGCATGAGCCACTTGCTTGCACAGTTTGGCCGGGTACGCCGACTCCAAAGAAGTGGAGAAGGTCTGGTCCTCATGGGACCATCCCCATGATTTGTGAGCGTGGCTGTTGTTACATTCAGCATGGAGTCTGTCCAGAGGCACTTTGCCGAAAAGGCCAGAGCGGTGTTCTTCTTGCGATCGCTTCCATACATGCACGAATGAAATTGCACATATCTCGGATTGCACCGAGATTGCGCCTCGGTCCAGAAAGAGGTTCGCCAGAACAAGGAGGAGAAGGGGTTCTCCACCGTCCAGGGGAGTTGCTTGTCCGTGCATCTAATGCACACTTGAGTCACAAGTTTGTACAGCTCGTTTGCTTTCTTCACACGTTCTGCTTCGTGATCAAGTAGATGCGGCAGTCCGTCTGGGAAATCATCCGAACGGAGAGGTCTTGGTCCGTAGCGAGAGGTGCTCATGGCGATCTCCCTGGCCCGCGAACACGTTCCACAAGGTGGCGCCATCCACACAAAAACTAGCTGATCTGAACTTAAAATCTGGAAAACAAGGTGTTGAGAGGCCTCAAGTGAAGGGTCCAACCTTATCACCGGCCCCTTTCTAGAGGGAGAAAGAAAACTATCGATGCCAAAACTTGCTGACAGGCCGACACTCTTCATGGCGGCCGTGATGCCCGCGGTGCCCGCGAAAAGCTCGAGGGCGAAGCATGACTGGAAAACTTTCCCTCCTAAATTCAAGGAGGGATAGAGGCCCTCTGTCTGTGATGGTCAGTTCGTCTGCCGCTGCGGGCACTGGTTGTACGAGTGAGAGCCCAGGCACTTGGAGCAAATGTGCAAGCCTCGGTCGCATTCGGACTCGTTGTTCTTCCCCGCGGGGCATCCCCCGGGTAAGTTGTGCCCAAAGCAGATGGGCCTCCCAGACGTGGGGCACTTGTAGTGAAGGCCAAGCAAAAGCTTGGGCATGCGAGGAGCCTCATAGTTATCTTGCTGGTGCTTGCCCTTGCCCTTCCCTTTGCTTTTGCCCTTGGAGTTCCGGTCCTTGCCTCCCTTGCGACTAAACCACGTGTCTTGATGCGGCATGTCATACGGAGACGGCCTGTTGCCCTTCCAACCTTTGCCATTCTTGCCCTTGCCGGCCCGGTCGCCCTTCTGGTCACCTCCCTTTGGGCTGAACTGCTGCAAGGGCAGGAGTGCGAACACGACCGAGTGTACCGTGGGCAACCTGGCGAACTCGGCGTCGATAGGTCTAGTGCCGTCTGACGGTCTGATATCCTTTACCACGTCAGCCATGTGAAGCCAGGCTGCCTTGTCTGCTCGCAGGATCTGGAACATCTGAACTTTTTGGAACCGGGCCGGTTGCTCTTTGGATAGTTCTCCGAACAGCCAATCCACCCATTTCTGGTGGACGGTGAATGTGACGAGATCCGCGAACTCATATGCCAAGCCGCGCCTGCGTAGTGCCTGGTAGACCAGGAACTCGGTATTGTTCTCGATGAACAGTCCTTTGTCGTTCTCCTTGACCTTGACCTGTGAGCCCTCAATTTCCAAGAGCTTGGCCGATGACTTATTGCTCATCATTTCCTGTTCTCTGGATGCACACCTGGAGGGCGGCATGTACTTGAGTATTTTGGACTCAGCTTGATGCGAGGCCGAATCCAGCATGGCGTGCCCTGGCTCCAGACCTTTGGAAATTTCGAGACCTGGGTACTTTGCACGAAGGCTGTCGAGCCTCGCGCTGCGTTCCGCTCTCGGGACCGGCTTTGCTGTGTCGGCCGTCGCTTCAACCCTGTTCTTGAGGCTGGCGCTGATAAACACGTGGGCCTCAAACAGAAGGTTCCTGGCTGCTGACAATGTTCTCAGCGATTGCCCTACCCCGGCGATGCCTTCGAAAAAGGTGTTGAATAGGGTCTCGTCGATCGGCTGCCCCGGCTGACCGTGGGCAAAACCATAGCGATTGAGTGTCGCCAAACCGTGCCTCTTGAACGCCTGTGCCGCCGCATCCGGTATGCCAAGCTCAGCAGCGCGCTGCAGGAACTGAGCTTCGCTGTCCAGGAGTGAGGTCATGATTTGAGGCTTTAGCCAATCTCTTGATTCTTAAAAGGGGGCTGCGGCATCACCGCAGCTAAGATTCGACTCGATAACTCACTCTCAACTACTGGAGGTGCATTTTATTCACCGCTTGAGCTTCTTGTTGATCGCTTCAATAAGGTCCGCCCTTGTGCGAATTGGAAAAGCACTCGGATCACATTGCGAGCAGGTCTCGGCTCCCTGCCCTAGTGACCTGACAGGTATCATGCTGCCGTGCCACTTCCTGCCACACTTAAAAGTCTGGCTTGACTCGTTTGCCAGTATGTGGACCTTCCCTTTAGGATTCAGGAAAAACAAGTTGCCGGCCCCCGGCGGAGGCATGACTGCTGATTCTTGGGAAGATTGTGATTCCGACTCTGAGGAAGAGCTGTCCGAGGAATCCGACGTGCTGCCTGCACCGGATTCTTTTGGAACCTCAGCACCGCTGTTGGCTTCCTCCTCCGACACCGGGGCTGGTGCTGCCGACGGCAATGATGCTGTTTCCTGGTCTCGATCAGGAGAGGCAGGACTCCTTTCTTCTTCGTTCGAGACTACCTTCCAGGCAGACGTCGTTTCTGATGGTTCCCCACGGGAGTTAATGCCCGTCTCGATGGGCCGGCTGTCCTGGCGGGACCTGAAGAGACCGCTTCTTGTCTCATCGGGCAGGAATGTACCCGCCCGTATGGCGTTTAGAGCCATCGCGAGCTTTCGCAGAGGCCGGGATTGCATCCCCCTGGCATACACGTCGCTCGACGTAATGCTCCCCACGTGCCGACCTAGGAATTCCAAGGTGGGTTTGTCGGCCCCGAAGCGGGCCATCCATGCCAGCACCGTCTCCTTACAACTGTGAGACGTGAGATCTTCTACGTTATCCAGCTGCCTTAGTAGGTAGCGCAGCAACGACGTGAATTCGTCACTCTCGAGGCTGCGCTCAGAGAAGGAGTCGTCAGAAAGAGGAGCGGGGAGGAATGGCCCGGGCGCAAATTCGCCGAGGACTTGCTTCCGTAAGGTTAGGAACTGCTCGGCCCAGTTCTCGTCTGTGACTCCAAAGGCTGGAGCTACGATGGGCAGGAGCCTTCTCTTTTCTCTGTTGGCTGTCTTGTGATGTTCCGTCCGGACTTCGATAAAGCCGTGCCTCCCTGTAATGTCCAGACATATCTCCTCAATGTGTCTGAGGTCGGAGCATCTGCAGCGTCCATACACGCACATGAGCATGAGTCCTGCAGCTAGCCGGTCAAAAACTCCTTCAGATGTGTTCCTGAGGATGGCGTGCAAGCGCAGTACCATGGCGACGGTAAGCGCCGGCGCCTGCTTCAATGGTCTCTTCTTGCTCGAGGCTTGCTTAGCCACTCCCTGAATCAGGAAGCTGGAAATGATGGCCGTTGCTCCCTCGGGTTCAATCGTGTAGATCATGAAGTTTACCGCCTGCAGAAATGAGGCCGGAGCGGTTGGAGCACCAAGTGCCTTGAGGTGGTGGACATAATCGAACGACACTGCTTCCTTCATCGGCCATGCTAACCTGTCGTTCTGCGTGCACCAATAAAGGTACCTTTTCACAACCATCCCTCTAGAGTTGATGGTGGATGGGGCTTTGACCCCCATCACTGCATCGACACACGTGAAAAGCTCGGTGGCGACTTGGCCGCCGTTGTCTTCGTCCGATAGCTGGACGTGCCTGGTGATGCCGAAGTGTTGTGGAGCGACCCCTATGACGTCGCACCACAGAGAGATTCCCTTCAGTCTTGAAGCTTGTTCACTCTTGGGGAAATTCACGTTTGGGCGGTTCTTGACTGCCGACAAAGCGGATGACGCCCCCGCTCTGGGTGGCATAAGTATCTTGCCAATGGCTTCGCCCGGGTCTCGGTCCGGCTCGGAAGGCGGGGCTGTGGTTTGTAACTGAGCTTGCGGCACCACGACCGGGGGCTCAGTGGTTCCAAAAATGTCCCGCATCAAGGGGGTCTCCCAAGGCATGACTATTCTTGGCCGTTTAGCAGCCCTCAACAAGCAGCCTTGCAGGGCCTGCTCGTACTCGCGCCCTTGAAGCACGCCGCTCGGCGAACTTTGCTGGTTTTGGGGCCGGGCACTGGCCGATGCAGAGAAAAGCTCTGACTCAGCTGGCGTGAGCGCTAATGTTGCTTCGGGCCGTTCCTGCTCTGGCCACTGATCCAACTCACCTGGATCTTCCAACTCTGCTAGCCGCTCCAAATCGAGCAGCCTGTCGATTTCACTCTCTTCCGCCATGCTGCTGGGTGAGACTGACACGACACACCTGTCAGTTTCCCTAAATGCCGTAGGCTCGCTTCTTTGTGAGGCTACTCCACCTCGTGATCTAGCAAGGGCTCCTCGGCCCGTCCTGGCAATACATTCTCTTTCAGCGTGGCTCAAAACTGTGACACGGCTTGCTCGAGCAGAACGCAGGGACAAACGAGGAAATTGCACGGACAAAGGCAACACGGCAAGAGGCTCAGCAGAAAACAACTGCGACATGCGACGGCGAGTTTTGCGGATCTCCCCGCTGCGTTTTCCTCTGCTCGGAGGACTTCTAGCGAAGCTTGCTTCTTCGCGAAACGTCACAGCTCTGACTCCCAGAGCGATTTACCGCGGCACACTCTGGGCCAGTTTCGCCCTTCTGTGGGCAGTTTCTCTGGGATGCTCCCTCACTGTCTTTCCTGACACTCGATGCTTGGAACCCTTACATGACTCAAGTACGGCTTGACGTTGCTGAGGCGCGGGCGGTCTTCCTTGGGAATGCATCAAGTTTCCTAGCATCCGATGATCCGAAGGAGTATGCTCGCTTCAGTGGGTGCAATCTCCAAGCCAAGCGGCAGCTTCGGCTTCTTTTCTCGGCGGTGGTTGCGCAGTTCGTCATCATCCCGGGAGCCCCGACAACAAAATCTCCCGAGGTCGTTCGAGTCCCTCGGACTGAACTAGATGAAAAGATTTGGAGGCAACTACCGCGGCCACATGAACGCCACGGCCTTTATGGTCGCGCCCTCCGACCTGATGCACAGACTTTGGTCCGATGAGGATCGCGCCGCCCAGTCTCTTCTGCAAGCTGCATGAAGCTTGCCCACGCCTCCTTCCAAGAGTTGGACCGCGTGTGCCCTTGCGGACACCAAAATTGCGATGCCACTTCCCGAGGCCTTTGCTTTCCTCGCAACCCCTTCCAGGGCCTTCATTGCCGTGTGCGAGGAGTACTGCTCGCAGCTGCCACGGGCGAAGAACCCGTATGGCGGGTACTGGTCGGTCTGAGCTGCTTGAGGGCGGATGATCTTTTGGCTCAAAATGCCGTGAGCCGAGGACCACTTCGTGCCGTGAGCGGCCGTCAGACTCTGCGAGTGGACGGGGTCCGGGATCTGGAGCTGCTCCGGCGCGGCGATGTCGGGTTTAAGCTCCAGTTCGAGGATCGAGGCGGAGAAATGCGATCCTGAATGCTGCGC